CAGAAGCTCTTAAAGTAGCTTGACGCTCTGCCTGTTCAAAACGCCTTTGCTGACTTGAGAAGGTGTTTCGGAAGCTCTTAAAGCAGCTTGACGCTCTGTCTGTTCAAGACGCCTTTCCTGACGTTGAGAAGGTGTCTCAGATGCTCTAAAAGCAGCCTGACGCTCTGCTTGTTCTTGCCTTCTCAGTTCAGTATCTTCTTAAGATTCTAGCGATAGAGCTAATCTTTTCGCTTGTCTTTGAGAAGATACTCTTGAAAGGCTGAACTTACGTTTGCGAGGCATTATGAAGTAACAAAAAACCTATTTATAAAAAACGTTAAAATACCTAAAAGGAATTAATTTTCCTTTTAAATATTTTTTTAAAAGCAAATCCAAAATATCTAAAAGGAATAAATATTCTCTTTAAATATTTTTTAAAATTAAAACAACAAACCAATTCAAGACACAACACGAATCCGAAAACGATAGCCAAAAAAATCCAATCAACTTAAACCAAATCACAAAGCAAATCGCAAAAAACCGAAATCGAAAGCAGTAGTAGTCAATATAAATATAACCAACGAAAAAAGAAGTAAGTTAATAGGTACCGTATACACTATCTATGTTATTAATATTCCTTTGAAATATTGTTAAACAACCTAAAACAACGAAAACCAATTCATGATTCTAAATAAACAAAATCCAAAATCAAAGCCAGAGTCTAAATATGTATAAAGGAATACCAACCAAATCAACAAAATCGATCCAAGAAAATACACAAATCCGAAAATGAAAGCTAATATAAATCCATTCAACCTTAACCAAATCACAAAGCAAATAACAAACAATCGAAATCGAAAGCAGGTAGTCGAATAAGCTACAAAATAGAAACAATTTAAGCGTATAGGTACCGTATGCACTATAAGTTGACGCGCGGCTCAACAGCGGGAGTTAAGTACATGTCAGGAAATTCGTTACCGCGTTTCAAAACCTAGAAACGACATCTAGCGGAATCAATTTAAACTATTTATACGTTAGTTAATAAGAACTCTCAAAAAATATTTTTCTTATAATTTTGCACAATTTTTCTTATTGTAATACCGATTCATTCATAACCCTAACATATAAGAACTGTATTCATTTCCGTTCAATAAATATTACTAAGGCTTATTAATAAGGATTACTGAGAACTGTTTCTACCACAGTTAAGTAATAGTTAAGGGTGAAAGCGTGACAGGTGGTGATATTATTTCTGATCCATACTTATAATCACGCCTGAAGCCCTTGCGGGGTAGGCAGAGCATCAACGGATTACTTAATATCGTCTGCGAGGTTATCGCCTATTCTGTGAATTAAAATACACCAAAACGTTTGAAGAAAATCAGCTGGTGAATGTTATGTTTTTTATCGCTCTCCTCCCGGTCCTGCGTAGAAAAATACAGATCCATAAATTTTTTTATCTTAATTTTGGTAAAAAGACATAATAATCCAGATATTCTGACCTTCTGTGTTCGTCCATCCTACCGTCGTCCGTCTTGTAGAATCACGGTGGTGCCACCTAGCTGAATTTAATTTTGCAACAAATTCGATTTTCCCACGGGAATGAGATGTTTTTCCGCGGAAAAAAGTAGCCTATGTCACTCTACTGCCACCGAACTATTCCCATACCAAAATTCATGCCATACCAACGCTCTGTTGCGACGTGTAAGAAGGACAAACTTGTGCAACATATTCTATTTTCCCACGGGAATGAGATGTTTTTCCGCGGAAAAAAGTAACCTACGTCACTCTACAGCCACCGAACTATCCCCATACAAAAAAACATGCCATGCCGACGCTCTGTTGCGACGTGAAAGAAGGACAAACAAACAAACAAATAAACAAACAAACACACTTTCGCATTTATAATATTAGTATGGAAGTATGGATAGTATGGATAATACCTAATAGTAATATTTTTCACGTACAAATTTATATAGTTCTAGATGCTAAATAGAAAGCGGAAGCTTTTTAATTACTTTATCCCACATAAGGTAAAGGCACCTATTACCGTGGTAGTTTTACTAAAACTCGAAAGGAGATCAAAAATGAAGCATTTATTTTACCCTTTTGAAGGTTTGGCTATTTTTATCAGGACCATTATTGCTTGCTCCCCAACTCGGAGCTTACTTCCTGCTAGTAATATCCATATCAATATAGCCATAAATTTAATAAATAGATTTTTATAAATCAACCCTGATGCCGATATATTTTTGACAAAAGTTACAGCCCCACTGCCGGGCACAGGCCTCATTTCTGAGAGGGGGCAAGGAAGTGTCCGCCGCGCTGTCCCAATGTGTTTTGGCGAACTTCACATGTCTTCGAAATATATTTTTTTTTCTTATTCCTCAGACATTCAGGTTTCCTCACGATGTTTTCCTTAACCGCCCAGCACGTGATAAATCAGCACTTAAAATTGCAATTAACAATTTCATTTGTGCCGGAGGGGATCGAACCCTGTCTGAATAGCATAAATAAGTGATATCATAAAATGGTATCTCATGTTTAGTATAAATAAACAAATGTAAGCGATTTGGTCCAGTACTGTAACCTTGTATTGTTATGTTGAATAAATAAATAAATAAATTCTACTCTTGGAATAGACAATAGGTTTGGCTATTGGATCTTGATTTGTATTCTAAATTAATTAAATATGAAAAGAAGTCGGAGGAACCTTATTCCGAGAGTACAAAATGCAAAGGAAAAATGTTTTTTTTTTTAGATTAATGGCGACAAATGAGCATCACAGTCCACCTGATGGTAAGCGAAAACTGTGACCCATAGACATCCACATCCACATCATCATCCACAGGACTAATATAGAATGCATCGTTTCCCGTAAGAAAGGGTCTCAGGTTCTCTACACTCACCATATGAAACACAGTAGCATTAAGGTGCTATTGTTTTTCGTTTTATGCTGTTATTCTGTGAGATGTAACCATAATATAGCTGCAGCTGCAGCTGTGGCTCTACCACGTAAAGATTGTATTGTTATAATATTTTTATTATCATTGTTGTTGTATTAAATATATGGCATGCCTACAGCATTGCGTTGAATGGTCTAAGGTAGGCAAGTGTACCGGTGTCGTCGCCGGTGCCACGACAACAAGCTAACCTTTCGGTGCCGGCCGGTAAAACTGCACGTGTATTGTGTACGTATTGTAGCTATGTGCTTAGGCGCGGTATATGTTCCGCCTAAATACCTTATTAATAAGTTTTGATGATAGATAATATAAGAAGATATATAACAAACAAATAAGACGACTTGACAAGACCATTTTTACGTGTTGTAGATATGAAATCTGTGTTAATACTGCCAATAACCGAGCGTATATTAGCACCGGTACCAGCTTAGTAGAAAAACGGAGCCACGGCACCGCTGTGATGGCGCTGTGCCACTGCCGTGCTGGTGATGACCCGGCGAATGAAAAGGTACCCAATTAGTCGTAGAAGCATAAAACTCTGCAAAGCTGACGTAGTTCTCTGGGCCTGGACTGAAGTAAACTAGTCACGCGGTCGGTTTTCGCGGGAAAACTCTGAATTGATATTATTATTGTTCTGTAGCGGGTACGGTTGTAAATTTTATCCAGATCGGTGTAAATCATATACTTATGCCAGTATATGCTAAGTCTATGGTATAAATAGTCACGCGAACTAGTTACGACAAAAAGCAACATTTCATTTCACTGCTAAGTCAAAAATATGTCAAATAACTTGCTTACGTTATTTAAAGATTCTTATTCACAAATATATTCACTTTGCTATAATCAGGCTTAATACATTATAAAGTACCCAAGTCATTTTTATTTTATGTGTATATATAAATCATATCATAAAATGTTAAATTTCTTTATTAGATCCGTCGCGGGAAAAGCGGTGAATTAAGTTTACTTCGGCGCGAATTTTTAAAATAAACAATGGCACCACTGTTCTGCCCGAAACTGACAAATGTCAGTATTATGACTTATTTGTAATAATTTATAATATTTATATTATTATTACAAATATAAAAACATAATTTATAATTTATTTATTAATAATTAATAAATAATAATAAATTCGTTATTTTCTTTTTTTTCTTTGAATGATATTCTAATCATTTCAAACTAGCGCAACACAGCCCGCTTTTATTGAGCCAACTTAGCGATCGCAGCGCCTCACTTATTTTTTCCATTATTCTGGGACACTGTTTCCTACAGCGATCGTTCTCCTGTTCCATGTGACTATTCATGGAGGTTAGGGCTCCACGTAGACAGAGAAACCTATAGACAAATTGACGCCTTCTTTCGCATTCGCACACGAAAGAGATAGATTTATGCATACGTCTTGCATAGAAATGAAAAAGAGCGATGTGATTGTTTGTCCCTTTTCCGTGCCGGTTTTTTTGTGTAGCAAACTACACTTTGCTAAACAAGTTTGACAGTTCGTAGCGATCTAAGGAGTTTACAAGTTGGTTTAAGTGAGAAAAGTGTTTTGTGAGCTTTGGTGAATCTTGTTCAGTTCAGTTCTTAGAACAATTATAATTTTTATCTAAATATGTTTAAAAGTCATAAAGATTATTGTACAACCTAAAACTACGTTATCGTCCTTTCTCACTCGAGGCCACGCTAATCTTTAGTCTATAGGTTTCTCTGTCTACGGGCTCCATGTAGCTTGCTACATATTTATTTATCTATGGCTCCATGAGGTTAGGGCTCCATGCTTTGAGCATAGAAAATAGCTCTATTTTCTATGCTCAAAGGCTCAATGTGAGTATCTATGGTTATGACTTATGTCATTGTCACGTCAGTGTCAGTTGGTGTCAGTTGCTTTTTTTCATTGGAGCTGGGATCATGTGGTGCTAAGTTACTTTTTACTTTTTGTATCTGTTTTGTTTCGTATAGTTTAAATATTTGTCATAATAAAGAACTGTAAAACAAACTATGAATGAAAGCCATCAAGTGTTGTGGTACTAAACGAACTGTGACAAACTGACTGACTGTATGGTGTTAAAACTCGAATTCTTGGAAAGTTGGATATTACTATCTTGGGATTTGGTGAGTAATTCTTTCTTTGTATATGGTTTCAAAGATTTTACTTATAACAATATATATCGTTATTAATATAAGCCGATACTTGTTTATAATATAAAGATTTAATAACGAATTACCCCAATTTTTAAATTGGCTAACGGGTTAATTACATTCAATGTTATAAAACTTGTAAAATTAATTTTTTTGCTTTATTCTGGAATAGATTAACTAAGCCTGCATATTTTTATATAAAGTAAAATAATGTAAATTATTGTGCAGATACACCAAAACTTATTTTTTCCTATTTTTTAATCCTTTCTGTAATATTCACTAAACCTACGCTTAAAAGTAATTTAAAAATAAATTAATACCATATGGATTTGCTTGATTATCTCAGGGATAAGTCTATAAACATGTACAGAAACTCCTTATACAAATTGCTTGAATGGAAACAGTAATATATGCTGCCCTTTTAAAACCACTAATGCTAGATGTTATAAAATCAATTATGATCTGATAAAAACTAGCCAGAAGCATAACTTTGTGGTAACTCACAAAACTGGTAATATCAAATGTTAGAAAAGATATCAAAGCACAAAACAAACTTTTTATGTATGTATTTTGTGTAACTCCTAATGTCAAACAAGTTAATACAAATGTAATTTTAAATGGGGAAGAACTGAGTCTTGTTGATACCACCATTTTTCTTGGAATCACACTAGAGGCAAAGCTTCAATGGCTCCCCCATATATCAAAACTAGCTAGCAGACTTAGTTCTGCAGCATATGCTGTAAAAAAGATTAGAACTCTTACCAGTGTTGAAATAGCTAGAATAGTTTACTTTAGTTATTTCTATAGCATTATGTCGTATGGTATTTTGCTATGGGCACACGCGACTGACACTGAAATTAATTTATTTTACAGAAGAGGGCCATTAGAGCAACATATAATTCAAAATCAAAAGAGTTGCTGAGACAAAAATTTAAGGAAATTAATATATTACCGAGTCAGTAATTCATTCTTGGGGCGATGTATATGCTTTTACTACAAAATCCCAGTAAATATACAAAATTTGTCATACGCAAAGTTCAAAAATTTTATTAAACTAAGTTTGTGTAGAAAGGGTTATTATAATATTAAGGAATTTATGGATGATAATAACCCCTGGGAAGGGTGATCGCTACCAAGCTATTTCTAATTTGTCTTGTGTTGGTAATTGTAAACATGATTGTAAGCTATTATTTGGAAAAAAAAATAGTCCCGCTGGGTTTCTTACTCGTTCTTCCCAGGACAAAGGGTTTTTTTTGCAAACCAGTGGTAAATGAAAAAATTGACTTTCAATAAGTATTGTTTGTAATCTACATTGAATAAAAAAGTTTCTGTTTCTGTAGATATTTGGCAGATTACATGTTTTACTTTAATATTTTGCATTCCATATTCTTCATGTTTGTGACATTGTAATCTGTCCATAGGCCTTTTACATCATGTTAAACAATTTGCCATTACTATCAAATTACATATAGTTTTACTTTTATTTTAATATTTGAAGTTTATATTATCAGGCTCATGTCAGGTCAATGGATGCAGGTGGCTCAGTATCTTTCTTTTGCCAGAAGCCTATGTTCAGTAGTGGACTTGTGAAGGGCTATAATGGTGATGATGATGGTATTATAAGGTATATAACCTAATCATTAAATTATATCCTTTAAAATGAGAGCTTTAGTTTTTAACTCATATTTTGTGTAATAAATCTCATAGGATGTAGACCAAAGAGTCAAGAGTTCAAGGGAGCACAATCTCATTCTCGCTTATAGAGGTTTTTCACTAACCCGAGTTTCTTGCTAATGCAGGTACATGGGTAGCATTTCTCTCTTATAGAGGTATGCAGCAATAAAAAGTCGTGAATAATATGTACATATATATTTTTAATAGTGTGTACATGTTATGTTCATTAGATTTCGACATATAAGTACTTTATAAGGGTAGGTATCAAGATGCTTACGAAAACAAAACAAAAATTCACGCACTATGTATTTTATTTTATTTGGAACTGACAGTAGTTTAATTTTCCATTTTGACATGATGCAGAACAGAACTTTCCTTCGTAATTGATAAATTATAAACTGAGTAAGTCCGACAAACAGGATGGTACACAGGCACATACAATAATGTTATTTTGTTCCACGAAATAGAATAGGTACAATATTGACGAGAAAACAATACAAAAATAATGGTAGGAAGTACCACGAAAGTTAAGAATGAGTCTTATAATAGCAGATGTTAAATTTGTAATTTGTTTTGCCATTTCTTAATGTATGTGTGTAAATTTTATATGTCCCTTATTATGTCCCTTATAAAGGTATAGATAAATAGTGGTCTCACTTACAGAGGTCCATGAGTTAAAAACAACTCTCTCTTACAGAGCTTTCTGTTTCTCGCTAATAGAGGTTTTGGGAGCTTAAATTGACTGGACCTGGCTATTACTCTCACTTATCCAGTTCTCACTTACCCAGGTTTGACTGTATATATATATATATATATATATATATATATATATATATAATCAATTATTATGAAAATATTGATTTTTATTTTTTTTTTGTACATATTTAATGCTGTCACAGAATGGTCAATAAATGGAAAATCCATTTGAATGTTTTACCAAATTATATTTTTTTCCAATTGATTTATCATGTTTTATGCTCCTATTTACATGTCTTTGCTGCATGCATAAGCTTTATATACAATAGACTTTTTATGCAATTGGTGAGGTAAATCTCTCAATCATTAAAGTTTTAACTTATCTTGTCCCTTTTACATGTTTTTTCTTACCAAATAAATAATTACCAATATAACTATAAATATTACATTTATTAAAATATCAATCTCTTTTAATGACGAAATATATATTGCACTATCATTATTTTTCTGTACTTGTCAAGATTGTGATTTGTATCTTTACAGTATTTCTTGAATGTGTACATGATATCTAAATTTTATGCATAGGTTACTTGTTGGAGAAAGAAAGTACTCCGAGAAAACCTCTGGAAGAGCAATGTTATGCAAAGATCACATGCCTTCTGCTAAATCTAATATGGTGCAATATGTTGGTGTACTAAATATTAACACAAACATGTAGGTATTGTAGTAAATAGCAAATACTTAAATAAATGTGTAAAGACAGATACTGCTCTGTCAAGAAAGTACCTGGAAAAGATCAATAATATTCAAAATTTTAGTTAGCATATAAGTTAATTTTATCACCTTCAAAGTATGCTCCTTCAGAAATGATACACTTCTTCCAATGAATAATCCAATCATCGAAACTTCTTTTATACGCTTTTTCCGGAATTGAGTTCAGTTCTGCAAATTCTCTTTTATGTCTTCTACTGAATGAAAATGGGTGCCACGAATTGGTAATTTGAGTTTATGAAAAAAAAGGAGTCGGCTGGAGTCATATCTGGTGATTTAGCTGGTTGCTCGATTCAATAATTCATTCACAATGATGGCCATGTGCGAAGGCGCATTATCATGGTGAATAAATCCAAGAATTTTCTGTCCACAAATCTGGGCTTTTTCGTCTAATTTGCTCTCTTAAACGCCGCATAACATTCTTAATAATATTCTTTATTTATCATTTGACTTCCCATCAAGTAAGTCCCGGCAAGAATTCCGAGTGCACAATACCACGATAGTCAAAGAAAACAGTCAACATGACTGACTTTTGATCGACTTTGGCATGGTTTTTAGGTTTCAGTTCAGTTGGAAGGCATTCACTCCGAAGCTTGTTGACTAGTTTGCATGTCAAACTCGTAAACCCACGTCTCCTCACCAGTAACAATGAGTTTCATGAATGTTGGGTTGGAATTGACTCATTCTAGCATGTCCTTAGTGACATATTCAATTGAGTTTTTAGAGAAAATTCGGGTCTTTTGGGACTAGCCAAGCGGCAACATATTTCGTGCCCAAGTGATTATTTAAAATGGTACGGATCGACTCGTGAGACACAGAAAGTTTGGCGGCTATCTCTCTCAAACTTGAATGAGGATTTTCAGTCACTATTTCCTTCACTTTTGCGATGACTTCAGTTGCAGATGTTAATGGCCTCGAAGATTTGCCAACAAGCACACAGTCTACCTATGGACCACAGTAGCTGCTTACCGTAGTTGCTGTGGCCCATAGACATCTAAATCTACCCTCGACTATGAATCAAATTGCAGATGCGTCGTGATCCGTGAGGATTAAGATGAGACCCCTTTTTTACTGGAAATGAGGCATTTTGTTTCCAGTAATAAGAGTTTCTACACTCACCATACAAAACGCTGCAGATTGAGCTGCTATTTTGCGTTGGTATTCTGTGAGAGCGTGGCCCTTCTCCAGTCGAGCCGTTCCATTCGTGCTACACTTAAACTGCTAATATATTAGTAGTAGTATTATACTTTATTATAGTAGTATTATACTTTATACCTAGTTAATAAAAATGATGACAATTTTTATTACACATATGCAATGTTTAATTACATATTTGTATTTTATATTTTCATATTTTTATTTTAAACGCAAAGCATACTAAATGTTCAGTACTTTTATATAGTGATCATTTTGTAGAATGATGAGAGAATTACGTATGTGGCATTTAATGTAACAAGTGATGAGAATGCTGAGCAAATTAGTACACAACAACTGCGATTCGGTGGTATACGGTGGCGTGTAGTGGTAATTAGTGCGTTAATCGTCCTAGCGCGTACCGCTGTTGATGCTACTGCATTTCTGAGAAGCCGATCAGCGGAGCTCGCGGATAGGAACGGCAAATTGCCGTCAGATATGTGTGCCGGCTGTCGGTAATTGCAGAAATCACTCGACGCACCGCGAAACGGGCTTGTGGTCCTGCGTGTATTACATGTCATGTGCCGAGCGCCGGCATAACTAGCAGGAAGAAGTACCTGTGTGGCAACTCTCCATGTGAGCTCTGTATCGTTGCGCTTTCAACCAGGTAAGATGGCGTTGGAAGTAATTACGAGCGT